GTGTGTGTGTGTGTGTGTGCGTGCCCACACACGTGTGTTGTTGTTGTTGTTGTTGTTGTTATCTTTCATTAAATTGTAAGCTCCTTGAAGGCAGGGACTGTCTTTTTCATATTTGTATACCCAGTGCTTAGCCAGTGCCTGACGCATAGTAATCACTTAATAAATGTTTGTTGACTGAATGACTAGCAGTCAGCACATCTGAGTTTTATTAATGATTCTGGGTCTTTGGGAAGGGTCTTGGCCTCTTTGAGCCTCAGTTGCCTCATCTGTAAATTACATGGTCATATTAGACACTCTTTAAGGTCACATATAGTTCAAAACAATGTTGCAAATAACACTGGACATAATTCTGTCTTCACTCTGGTTCCAGGACTAAAGAGTCTTCACCACCAGAGAACCAAAACTTAACCCTTCAGTTACTGAAATTAGTTACACATCTCCATTGTATTTATAGAATTTCACACTTGGAAGGGGCCTCAATGACCTTCTCATCTGACTTCTATTGACCTTGGGTCCCAAGATAACATCAAGGCATCAATGACTCGTTTTTCCTCATGGACATGAATCCTATAACATACCTGAATAACCCTAACCCTAAACGCACACTCTAACCCTAACCCTAACCCTAACCATTATTGACAACAGACCCAACAAGTGTTTACCCAAACTTCTTTTCCCTTTCCTTCAGCATATTAATGCTGAGCTTAGTAAGGACACATGATCAACTTAGCCCACTGCAATTCAGGATTCCTGAGCTCAAGAGATTCTCCAGCCGCAGCCTCCCTTCCTGTGGGGATTATAAGTGGGCAAGACATATGTGACCCTGGGCAAGTCACTGGTTGCCTCAGATTCCTCACATGTAAAATATGGATAATAATAGCACCTAACTCCCAGGGTTGTTGTGACGATCAAGTGAGATAATTACAAAGTGCTTAGAATGATGCCTGGCACATAATGGATACTCTACAGATGTTAATAAAAATATTATTATCCCCATTCTCCACCATGAACCTTGTGTGCTTTGGTGGGAGAATGTGACTCAGATTTATGGCTGGATTGTCATATTTTGATCATTCTTATTTTTGGCTTCTATTGAATAAATGTTATAATGATTCCTGCTTTTGTCTTGATGGAAGTGAATTTCATGTCAATGGGAAGTACACTGGTGGGGTCTCATAAGCTAGAGTGTCAAGAATAGGAGTGAATCTTCCTTTATCCTCCACCATATTAACCCTCTCGTATGATGCACCAAGGTTATCCCTGAGATTCTGAGAGAAAGAGAGGTTGAGTTGTAGTCATATTTTCATAGCCCCGGCCAGTCCTCCCACTCTGGGAATATGAGGATAGGCTGGAGTGAGTAAATCAGCCCCACTTGAGAGAGACAGAGACAGAGACAGGGACAGAAAATGACAGAGAGTGCCACTGGCCGGCTGTGAGTCTGAGACCACTCTCAGGCCACATTTGTATGAAGGCGTAGATGCCATATTTTTTTACATTCGTATCTGACAGGAAACAAAAAAGGCATAACTAAAACATTGGCTGATTAAACTGAGATCAAGAAAGTTCACAGCAAGCTACAATAATAGATCAATTCAAATAAACTGAAATTTAATAGAGACAGACGTAAAGTCACACACGATTTCCGAAAATCATCTATATAAAAACCAGAGATGGCACATAGCAAGACAACAGGCTATATAAGGGGAAGAAGAAGGCTCTTAGGTGTTTCAACCATCTTCAAGCACAATATAAATCAGCCATGAATGGAAACCATTTAGCCAATTCCTATCGGTGCATAGCATTGTAGTAGGCAATGGGAGGGAGAAAAAGGCTAGGTAAAACTGAGTCTCTAACCTCATGGTGTTCACAGTATAGGAGCAGTATAAAATATAGAGCAGATAACTCTAAAATAGAATCATAAGTGATAAGGCCATTGAAGTGTTGCAATATAAAATGTCTTGTGAACTTTTTGATATTAGCCAATGCAATCTTATGATAAATTCATGATAACATAGTGTCCCCAGTGAGACAGGTGATAATCCTACCCTGCTCAGGTCACATTTGGAAAACTGTCTACACCGAAGGTTGCCACATTTCAGCTTCCCTCCCCTGCTCTATCCAGTCCACCACATAGCTAGGGACATAGAAGGGGGAGGGGACGAAAAGTAAAGAGATACAGAGATAGGAAACAATTTTAAAAGCTGACCAGTGGCACAAAGACATGTGTGTCATATTGTACCAGCTCCTATCGTTTTCTTTCCTCCTCCCATGAATTGGTTCTGAGAAACTTGATCACTGGATTTGAAATGGAGTTCAAACGCAAGAGATGGGGAAGAGAAAAAGAAGGGTTAAGGAAGGGGAAGTGGGAACAGGAAAAGGAAAAGAAGGGGAAGAGAAGAGGAAAAAGAAGAGGAAGGGGAAAAACAAGAAGGTGGGAAGCCAAAGGAGAGAAAGGAGAGGAAGAGATGGATGTAAAGAGAAGAGGAAAAGTGGTCTTCTCCATATTATATGTGCCTTTGCATTTCTGAATCATTGGATCATAGAATTGCAGTGCTGAAAAGAACTTCAGAGGTCACGTTCCCTCTCCACCATACCCAGCATATTCGTATCCAGTCTATTTCCAGATCCGAAGGAATGGGGAACTCATCACTCCTTGGGCTGCCCATACTTAAATTTTAAAGTTTGTAAAATGCTTCATATGTTATCGCATTTGGTCCTTACAACAATCCTTTAAGACAAGTGCAGTTGTTAGTCTCATTTACAAACAAAAATGAGGCTCAAAGCAATTATATGACTTGGCTTGGATGACATAGCTAGTTAGTGCCTGAAGCAGGATTTGAACTCAGGTCTTCCTGACTTCAAGTCAAACACTCTATCCCAGGGGTGTTACAAACTTTAAAATTCTATGCAAGTAGTAATAGTAGTAGTGGTGGTGGTGGTGGTAGGGATTATAGTGGTGGTGGTGGTGGTAGGGATTATAGTAGTGGTGGTGGTGGTGGTGGTAGCAGTAGTAGTAGTGGTAGTAGTAGTAGTAGTGGTAGTAGTAGTAGTAGTAGTAGTAGTAGTAGTAGTAGTAGTAGTGGTGGTAGTAGTGGTAGTAGTAGTAGTAGTAGTAGTAGTAGTAGTAGTAGTAGTAGTAGTAGTGGTAGTAGTAGTAGTAGTAGTAGTAGTAGTAGTAGTAGAAGTAATATCTCCACATCTGTGGCTCTGATACACTTTCCCACCTGACCACTCTCTATCAATTTTATATTGTTGAAATTAGTCAAGTGGTCATATGCTATTGTCCTCTCCTTCCTTTATATATGCAGAGGTTTATGGGTACAGAACACTACACATGACACCACACATTTAAAAAGTATACAACTTAGTTTTACTGAACTTTGTTTCCCTTCCCTCTCTTTGATTCTCCATTACAAAGTATGGCTCTCTGGGAGGAGAAGTGGGAAGGGCTACATTGTGAAATGTGGATCATATCAAAACAATAGTTATCAATAAAAGTTACTATTAAAAGAAATTATATACCTTTGGAGGTATATAAGTAAGGACGATATCAAGACAACAAGGCAAAGCAACAAGCATTTTTATTTATTTTTAGCATTTAAAATTCTCTTTGAGTTGCAAATTCCCTCCCTCCCTCTAGCCCTTCCTTCACCCATTAAGAAGGCAAACAATATGAGATCAACTATGCATGTCAAATCATGCACAATGTATTTCCACATTAGCCCTGTTGACAAAAAAGCAATAAAAATAAAGCTACTGTAAAAATTCTACTTCAATTTCCACTCAGAGTTCACCTGTTCTCTCTAGAGGTGGATAGAAGTTTTCATCATTTCTAGAATTGTCTTGGATCATTGTCTTGGTCAAAGTAACTATCTTTCACAGTTGGCCATCATTACAATGTTGCTGTTACTGTGCATAGTGTTCTCCCGGTTCTGCTCACTTCACTCTGTATCAGTTTATATAATCTTTCCCAGGCTTTTCTGAAACTACCTCCCTCATTATTTCTGTTTTTAAAGTTTTATTTATTTATTCATTCTTTTATTTATTTTTAGTTTTCAACATCCACTTTTATAAGATTTCAAGTTCTAAATTTTCCCCTCTCCCTCCGCTACTCCCTCCCCAAGATGGCATGCAATCTGATATAGGCTATACATATATAATTATATCGAACATGTTTACACGTTAGTAATGTGAAGGAAGGATCAGAACAAAAGGGAAAAACCACAAAAAAGGAAAAAAATGAAAAAAAAAAAAAGAGAACAACTAGCATGCTTCAATCTGCATATCTGCATTCAGACTCCGCAGTTCTTTCTCTGGATTTGACTAGCATTTTCCATCATGAGCCTTTTGGAATTGTCTTAGATCCTTGCATTGCTGAGAAGAGTTAAGTCTAACAAAGTTGGTCATTGCATAATGTTGCTGTACTGTATACAATGTTCTCTTGGTTCTGCTCACTTCACTCAGCATCAGTTCATGCAAGTGTTCATGCAAGAAAAATAAAGCTACTGTATTTTATGCAAGTGTTTCCAGGTTTTTCTGAAATCTGCCTGCTCACCATTTATTATGGAACAATAGTATTCAATTACATTCAGAAACCACAACTTGTTCAGTCATTCCCCAAATGATGGGCATCCCCTCAATTTCCAATTCTTCTGAGTCAAAGGGTATGCACAGTTTTATGGCCCGTTGGGCATACTTCCAAAATGCTCTTCAGAATAGCAGGATCAGTTCACAACTCCACCGACAGTACACAGTGCATGATTGTCCCAAATTTCCCACATCTTCTCCAACATTGATCATTTTCCTGTTTTGTCATGTTAGCCAATCTGATAAGCGTGGTGTGGTACCTCAGAGTCGTTTTGATTTGCAATTCTCTAATCAACAGTGCTTTAGAACATTTTTTCATATGACTATAGATAGCTCTAATTTCTTCATCTGAAAACTGCCTGTTCATATCCTTTGACCATTTGTCAATTGGGTCCCTCATCATTTCTTATAACAACCATTTATTAAGTGCTTACTATGTATGAAGAATCAACAAACTTATATAAGGGAAGTGAAACATGAAGAGGGTAGTTAACAACTTAACTCATAGTCAGAGTTTTTATGATTTTCCCCCATTAAAATTCTAATCAAACTAGCATTAATAGGTATGGAGGGGAATGGGCCTGGCCAGCCCTAACAAAGGTCATTGTTCCAGGCCCACCAGCTCCTCTATGTTGCTGGAAAGCCCATGTTTGTCCAGTATTCTTCAAACAGAGGTTTCCCATAGTTTGCTGAGGAGAATTTTAGCATCATTGGCCACTGTCTCAAGGAAGTGCAAGTGTGTATAGTAACTCTTTCTGAAGTAGAAGCCAGAGGCAACTAGACCTCCATTCACTGAGAAGTATACCTCCGCATACTTTAAAAGTCTCTCACTGATGCTTTCATCCCTCGTAACTGTCAACAGATGTGGAGACTTGATAAGGGCCTTCACCTCTTCCATAGGCTTATTGGATGCCTGGGAGATCTTAAGAAGAGATGCATCATCTACTCCAAATTTTCTTTGATAGTTGATCAAATGCTTCTTTAATTGAGCAATATCATCATCTTTAATGATACCCACAAAAGGGAGAGAGGCCTTTGTGCCAGTCTTCAAGGCCTCCAGCCAGATCCTTTTCTGAATACTAGCTTTCTTTTGGTCAATTATGTCCTCAGTAATATTGGGAAGGGACAGAAAAAAGACATGGCGTTTGTGCTCTGGAAGCTCTTTTGCCAATTCATCCTGCAATTTAGGGAAATCATAGGATTCTAATTCAAAGCTGGAAATCAAAAAGACTTTTGGGTCCTCAATCCCTATTTTCTGCAGATGTTGTAGGCAGTTGTTTCGTATCATCTGCAGAACATTCTCCTCCTTGAAGGTCCTGGGCTTGGATCTCCTTTCATTATTCAAATCAATGTCCACTTTGGTTCTCACAAAGTAAAACTTCTTCCCCATCTCTCTAATCTTCTGGGCAAGCTTCGCATCATTGACTCGAAATCTTGATGAGGAAATGATGACGAAGAAATCATAGCGACTAAAGTTCACTTGTTCTAGATAACTCTCTGGTTTGAAATGAAGGGTCCCAATGCCTGGCAGGTCCCATAGCTTTACATTAGGTAGCTCTGGGTGTTCATAAAAAGTAATATTTGTGGTTGTCTCCACGACCCCAGTGCTAGCAGCATCCTCATCTTCATGCCCAACCCCCCGGAAGGCATTGATGAAAGTGGACTTTCCTGCACCTGACTCCCCTGTCAGGGCAATGTTCAGGAGGGCATTATCCATGTCTTCAATCATCTTACTGATTATAGGTACAGCTTCTTCAAGTCTCCCCTCCTGCAGGGCTGATCTGATCAAAATGATTCTTGCTTGAAACAGTGAGTCTTCCCCTCCAGTAGATGGATTGTTGCATTCATGTATCATATTTGAGGCCAAAAACCTTGGTCTTTCTTCAGCAGGTAAGGAAGAGAATGAATGGCCCATGACTGGTCACTGGAGATCTCTGAAGAATGGAAAAAATAAGAAAGGTGAAGGAGAGAAAGCCACTAAAATGACCTTTAGAATCAGCTGATACCAAAGCAACCAGACTCAGATGTCTTTCCCTTCAGAAGAAACAATCGTTAATTGCCATCCACTATGGGTTTTCCTCTTGGAGTATTAATCTGTCTCCCTCAATACCATAAATGTGTTTTATACTCTTTTTTAGCCTTCATTTTGTACTTTGTAAATAGTCAATAAATTTTGGTGGTGGTTTTCATTAGCTCTGGTGTGCTGAATAATGGAGGAAAGAAGAGGGGAAAGGAGAATATCCTTCTAGTCTTATGGTTCCATAATTGTACTTGGTAAAACTTCCCAAAGTCAAGTCAAGTACATAAGCATTTATTAAGAACTTATTAAATTGGAGTAGAGTCAAGATGGCAGAGTACCAAGAGCAGTACAGTGATTTCCACTCCACAAACTCCCCCAAATAGATAGAGAAGATGGAACAGCCTAAATCCTGATGCAGAAATTCGGAAGTCACAGTGAGTCATTTTCCCAGCCCATATCAGCATAGGGACACACATAAAGAGGTCTTCAGACACTGGGGATAAGTCAGGCCAAGAGTGTACCAAGTGGAGCACTCCAGCGCCCAGAGAGAGGCTGTACATCAGGACAAGAGGAGGTCCCGTGTTCATTCTGGGGCACCACCAGACCCATACCAGGACACCAAAAGGGACTGACTGGTGCAGGTTGACCGCTTTATCATGTATTACCTACTTCTGAGTCATAAGCATGTGGACTGAGGAGGAGATCTGCACAGGGGAGTGGTTTCCCCAGGTAGGGAGGCCTTGGACTGTGTACTGAGGAATTTCAGAAGCCAATAGCAGCAGCAACACTGTGGATCATACTCAAGGCTTAGAGCTGGGACTCAGTTCCAGCAGTTAGCCCAGCCCGCAGAGGAATAACCGAGGTAGAAATTCCAGACCAGAAGGGAGCCTGCACTTCTGTACCTCTCAATCAGCAGAGCTCTCCAGCTGGCTGATGGGGCTGAGTCCAGCACAGCCTACTCTTGCTCTGATCTGAACTCAAGTCAGGAACTTGCAGAGCTTAGACTAGGGGACAGCCTGCTCTGGATTCGACTGCTTTGGGAGCGTGGAAGACTTAATTAAAAGGGATAAGCTGGGAAACTACACCTTGCTAAAAGGAACCACAGACACTAAAGTAAGAAACTAAACACACATGCACCAAATGGCATAGCGTCCACATTCTTAAAGGAAGAGTTAAATGAATTACCAGAGAGAACAGATAATAAAAGACCACACAAGGTGGGGGCCTCAACTTTCACATCTCAGAACAAGATAAATCTAACCAAAAATAAATGAGAAAGAAGTTAAAGAGATGAACAGAATTGTAGAAAAGTTAGATAGGACAGACCTTCGGAGAAAACTGAATGGGAATAGAAAGGAACGTATCTCTGTCTCAGTGGTATATGGCACTGACACAAAAATGGACCGTGCATTAGGGCATAAAAACCTCACAACCAAATGCAGAAAAGTGGAAATATTAAATTCTTCCTTTTCAGATCACAATGCAATAAAATTACATTTAACAAAGAGCCACGGAAACAAGAATATCAAGAGAATGAGTGAAAAAAAATGTGAAAGGAGGTAGCCTAGCAGTACCGGATCTCAAGCTATACTTCAAAACAGTAATCATCAAAACAATCTGGTACTGGCTAAAAAATAAAGTGGTAGATCAGTGAAATAGATTAGGTACACAGTATGCGTTAGCAAATGACCATAGTAATCACTGTTGGATAAACCCAAAGATCCAAGTTTTGGGGACAAAAGTCACTATTTAACAAAAATTACAAGGAAAACTGAAAAGCAGCTTGGCAGAACTAGGCATAAACCAGCATCTCACACCGAATACCAAGAAAAGGTCAAACTGGATAAATTATTTAGACAGAAAGAGTGATATCCGAAGCAAATTAGGGGAGCATGGAATATTTTACCTTTCAGGTCTATGGATAAAGGAAGAATTTATCACCAAACAAGAGATAGAGAGAAGTACAGGATGTGAAATGGATAATTTTGATTACATTAAATTATAAAGGTTTTGCACAAACAAAACCAATGCAGCCAAAATTAGAAGGAAAGCAGAGAACTGAGAAAAAAAATGTTTGTAACAAATTTCTCTGATAAAGGTCTCATTTTTCAAAATATAGGGAACTGAGCCAAATTTATAAAAGTAAGAACTATTTCCCAGTTGATAAATGGTCAAAGTATATGAACAGGGAGTTTTCAGATGAAGAAATTCTATCAATAGTCACATAAAAATGCTCTAAATCACTACAGATTAGAGAAATGCAAATTAAAACAACTCTGAGGTAGCTAACAGGAGAGAAAAAGAAAACGATAAATGCTGGAGGGGATGTAGAAAAATTGGGACACTTAATGCAGTGTTGGTGGAGTTGTGAGCTAGTCCAACCATTCTGGAGAACAAGTTGGAAGTACTCCCAAAAAGCTATAAAACTGTGCATACCTTTTGACCCAGCAATATCACTACTAGGCCTGTATTCCAAAGAGACCAAAGAAAAACAAAAAGGACCTATTTGTACAAAAATATTTATAGCGGCTCTGTTTTGTGGTGACAAAGAGTTGGAAATTGAGAGGATGTCCATCAATTAGCTGAATAAGTTGTGCCACATGATTGTGATGGAATACTATTATGCTGTAAGAAATGATGAGCAGGGTGCTTTCAGAAAAACCTAGGAAGTCATGCAAAGTGAAGTGAGTAGAACCAGGAAAACATTATACACAGTAACAGCAATATCGTAAGGACGATCAACTGTGAAGGTCTTAGCTACTCAGATCAAGACAATGATCCGGGGCAGCTAGGTGGCACAGTGGATAGAACACTGGCCCTGAAGTCAGGAGGACCTAAGTTCAAACCTGGCCTCAGATCCAACACTTGACACGTACTAGCTGTGTGACTTTGGGCAAGTCACTTAACCCCGATTGCCTCATTTAAAAAAAAAAAAAAAAAGACAATGATCCAAAAGAACCGTGATGAAAAAATGCTATTCACTTCCAGAGAGAGAACTGCTGAACTCTGATTTCAGAATGAAGCATACCTTTTAAAAACTTTCTTTTATTTTTCTTGTTTTATTTTGTGTTTCTTTTGCATCATGTCTAATATGGAAATAGGGTTTGTATGACCTTATATGTATAATTGAAATCAAATTGCTTACTTTCTCAAGGAGGCAGGAGCAGCAGAAGGCAGGGAAAGAATTTGGAGCTCAAAATTTTTAAAAATGATTGTTTAAAAAACTTTTACATGTAATTGGGAAATATTTAATGAAATAAAAAAATGATTTATTTTACAAAACAAAGTCAAATGGCTAAAAAGAAACCAAAACCAAAAAAGAGAAGAAAATGTAAGGCTTCTCATGGCAAAAATAACTGACCTGGAAAACGGCTCAAGGAGAAAAAAAGTTTAAGAATCATTGGACCTCCTAAAAACCATGACCAAAAAAGGAGCCTAGACATCCTATTTCAAGAAATCTTAAAAAGATAACTACCCAGAGTTCTTAGAGCCAACAGGCAAATTGGAAATAGAAAGAATACATTGGTCACCTCCCGAAGGAAACCCCAAAATGAAAACTCCCAGGAACATCATATCCAAAATCCAGAGCTTCCAGGTCAAGGAAAAAATACTGCAAGGGGCCAAGAAGCCCCTGTCAAAAATTTCACATGATTTAGTAACCACAAAAGAGTGGAGAAACTTGGAATATGACACTGCGGAAGGCAAAGAATATAGACTTACAGCCAAGAATAACCTACCCAGAGAAACTGAGTACAATGCTACAGGGCAAAATGGACCTTTAATGAAATAGAAGACTTGCAAGCATTTCTGATGAAAACGTCCAGGGTTAAAGAGAAACTTGGAAATTCAAAATCAGGAGTGATGAGAAACATAAAAAGGTAAACTGAAAGAATAATAACGAAGGATTAAACAAAGATAACCTACCTATATTCAAATATAGGGAGATGATATATGTGCCCCCTCTGAACCCTGTCATCACCAGGTGTCACAGAGGAGTCCAATTAGGCAAGACCTCCGGAGTGGTTCTGTTATGTGTTAATGACCTCAAGAGTGGAAAGAGAGGGGAAAGTCACTGGAGTAGCCAGGAAAGGAAAGTCAGGGAAAATGATCTCAAAAGTAGACATCTGTATGAACAAGGAGGAGGGGGAATTAGAGGGAGGGAATACTTCTAAGCTCAGTAAGGGTGGGGAGGTAGGAGGATGATTGGACTGATTAAAACAAAGAAAAGATATGTTAAAAAAATAATAATAATATGAAGAAAAACAGCTTTGAAAGACTTGAGAACTCTAATGACTGAAAATGATTCCAGAAGATGCATGATGAAACACACTACCCACCTCCTAATAGAGAGGTGATAGATTCAATAGATATATATAGATATATATACACACATACATACATATATACTATATATAGTCATATACAAATTCATACAGATGCATACATACCAACATATATACATATATGCATATATGTATGCACACACATATAGTAGACTTTATATATGCATATGTGTATATATACACATATATGTATGTGTGTATATACACGTATATGTGTGTGTGAATACACACACATATTAATAATATATAATTATGGACATGGTCCATGCAGGACTTTCTTTTGCCTGATTATGTAAAACTCTTGTAACAAGGGGTTGGTTTTCTTGCTTAATGGGGGTGACAGGGAAGGTGAGAGGGAGAGAAGGCAATTTTCTTTTGAAAACAATTTTTAATTCAAAAAATAAAATTTAAATTCAGTAAAAATGAAATTTAAAAAGTCAAATCCAAGCTGTGGAAGAATTTGCAGGAGGACAAAGCTCTTAGAGGAGAAGTGCCGAACCTTAGCAGGTAAGACACTCCGAAAAATGGAAAAAGAGATTGAAAAAAAAAAGAGGAAGGCAGTTGAAACCTCTTCAAGAGCGAAGGCAGGTCAGCAGAGAAGGAAGCACAGACGATGACCGTTTTGAAAGTGCCTGCTTGAGTTTCTCGTATACCTTCTGTAAAAGTGGTATGAAATAGAGAGAAGTGGTCAGCAATGCAATCCTCTCTTTTCGTTTTATTGTGTATGTGGAAATGCCCGTTCTAGGATGCTCACGTTCAGATGTTTATGAAAAGTTAAGCCATACTAAGTAGAGAAAGAGATAAGAACAGAGATAGAGAGAATTAGGCACGTGGTAGAGAAACACTAGGACATGGGGCAAAGAATCTCTTGGATTTGAGTGGTCCTGCCCCTTTCCTTCTTCCCCCTTTGCCCCCTCGATTCCCTTTTTCTTTCTTTTTCTTCCGCTTATTAAGTCATCTATCAAGCAACCAGAAGAAAAGCATCTATCTGATGACCCCTGAGATGTCTTCCACTTCTCAACCTACCGTCTGTTCCAAAGTATATTTAGAGAATGACAAAGCGACATGGCTTCCAGAGAGGAAGACTGGTAGAATGGAAGGGGTGGAGGTGGGGAACATTAGAGTGAGAACATCCGGGTACATCTGGAAGTTGACATGGGCTGTAAGGGATGGGTGGGAAAATAGCCCAGAAGGAGGGGAGGGGGAGCGGGATGGGGTGGGGAGAGAGCAGGCATTGCAGGCATTGAAAACAGCGTAAGGGAAGAGAGAGGGGAGAAGCATCTTCAGGGGAGGAGGAGGGTGAGAGAATGGCTCTGTTTGGCTGCACTACAACCTATGTCCATATTAGGCACAGACAAGGTTGAACACCGCAGCCAAGGTACTGCACCAGTTTAAGGAGGTGGGGGCAAGGGAGGAAGCAGTGGCTTAGAACTCTTAGCCCTGAAGTCCTGCCTCTTTGAAGCCCAGTGCTCAGGGTTTTTCCTCCCGAGTTTGATCTCATATCCTTGCATTCCCCCAAAGTGCCCACCCTGAGCTGCAGAAGCCATCCAATCAAGATTGCGCTTTTATTTACAGACGATCACCAGCCTCCGTCTCCATTTCCATGGAGATTAGAAAACGCCTGCCAATTGTGGTACCCTCTGACCGTGCCTGGTACCAGAAGCATCCAGAGAAAAGTCACCCGGCTGCCAGGGAAGGCTGGTCGAGGGTTGGCTCACTTCCAACATTCCAGTTTGCCGTACTTTAGATCCTGGTAAAGCCCTGACCTCTCAGTGCGATTCCATCCTGGCAATTAGCCCAGAACTGTGCCACCCAGAGTACCCTTCCCACAACCCACGAGGCTTTCAATCTCCTCAGTAGGAGGACCTTTTATACAGAGGGTTGGAGGGGTGTCACGTCCCTTTTTGTCACCCCTTGAATCCATCAGCTCCTGAGGAAAAATCAATAGCATTGGTAAGAAACCAGCTCCAGACTTACCTCTGGGGTTAGTGGGCAAATACTCTGACCTCCCCTGGACTCACAGACACGTCTCTTCAGTGACCCAGAGCTTCTGCTGCTCGATTCAAAGGCAGGGACAGATGCTGAGACTTGTGACTTAAGGACTGATTCAGTCCCCACTCACGGCTTTTATATGCTAGTAGAGGTCACCAGTCGTGAAGCTTTCTTTTGCATTTTCCCAGAAAAGACATCTCTAAGAAGAAATATTATGAAAGAGGCCTAAGAAAAGAATTTTGAGATCACTGACCACTCAATCAACAAGGAGGTATTCTCTATCTCCTCTCTGATTCAAAGTGTTTTGATTACCTTTATGAAGCGCCTACTGCATGCAACGCACTGTGCTTTGTTAGAAGAGCAAAGGTCCCTAAGGTCAGTGAGCTTTGAGACGCACAGAGGAGATAAGAAAGAGACATAGGCAACTAACTGTCCTAAGCCACAGGAGTTGCAGACAAAGCGCTGGGAGATATGTGGAGTCACTTCTAGCTGAGAGGGTGAGGGGAGGCTGCATGGAAGAAGCCCCTTAGCTATGGCCTGCAGAAGTTTAGCCTATTTTGATTTTGGCCCCTACCTGCTGCCAGGCTGTGCAGGTCTGGACCAGAGAAAGGGAGGGAGGTGGTCAAGGTGACACCTGCTTCGGGAACGGTGACTCAGTCCATTTGGCAGGATTATGGAGTAAGGCTGATGGAGGAATGCCAGGGTGGCCTCTGAAACATAAGCAAATAAGGGACGAGGACAAGAAAGCTGACATTATGTAAACCTCGTATACAAAGGGCTTTACAGAAATTGGCTCATTTGATCCTCCCAACAACCCTGACAGGTAGGTACGTTATCTTCCTCATTCTATAAGTAGGGAAGGGTAGCCGAGTGGTGCCATGGTGCACAGAGCACTGGGCTTGGAATCAGGAAGACTCATCTTCCTGAGTTCAAATCTGGCTTCAGACACTAGCTCTGTGACCCTGGGCAAGTCACTTCACCCTATTCGCCTCCGTTTCCTCCTCTGTAAAATGAGCTGGAGAAGGAAATAGCAAACCACTCCAGTATCTTTGTCAAGAAAACCCTAAAATGGGGTCGCAGAGAGTCCAACATGACTGAACAACAACAACAGATGGGGAAACGGAGGCTTACAGGGGTGAAATGACTTGCTCAGGATCACACAGCTAGTGTCTGAGGGAGGATTTGAATTCAGGTCTTCCTGACTTCAAGTCCAGCATTATGACCACTGAGCCCCGTCCTAGCCACATGTTAAGCAGAGATGGTAAGGAGAGGAGGTCCTTTCTGGTGGGATTGAACCCTTGTATACCTTGCCAAAGATCTAAGGGGCTGAGTGGCTCATTGGAACATGAAGGGGTGGAATACAGTATGAATTTGCCACCAGAATGTGGATCCTGTTGGTTCGCTTGCATAGATCAGCCGGAAAACATTGGAGTTTGAAAAAAGAAACTGTAGAACCCTGGACCTTTGAGCTGTTTGGTGATGACTGAACAAAGATCCATTACCTGGTTATCATCTATCTGGCAGAAGTATTGCAGAGTTACTAGCGACTAGGGTGGGATCACTGGTAGAGGGAACTCAGCTCTGAAGCTAGAAGAATTATCAAAGCAAAATCACTATTCTCCTACCCCTGATCTGGGGGATGGAAATCCTCAGAGCCCCCAAGGGAGCAGATCTGGGGAGGCCACTGCCGATCCATGGTGGCAGCCCCCAGCTCAAATCCCAGGCTTTGCATTGAAGCAAAAGTTGAAGGAAGTGCCCCAGGAAGGGTATGTTGCCCTGAATTAAAGTAACCCTGTTACGTACTCCTGTTTGAGTCTCCTCCTAATGCTGTAGCTCGTGGGCCCCCATCGGTGTGCTTCCCATTAATAATCAATCAGTAGAATTAATTAGCCCTTGGAAAAGGCATCTTATTCACATGGCATAGGAAAAAAAATTAGAAAAACACTATTCCCCCCCCAAAAAAAAACTAGAGTGGACTCTTCCACGCACTATATCCATGGAGCCAATGGGGACAAACTTGAAGGGAATGGTAGTAAGGCACATATGTAAAGAGCACACGTGGCCAAGGCAATTCACAATTCCTGGTACTCCAGGGCCTTGACGTCCTTTGCTTCTCCACAAATCCAGGGCCATGATGTACTTTCTGCCTTTGGAGAGTCTTCCTGAAGTTCTCTGCACAACATGGCATTTGTGCTAGGCAGGTCACTGATGCTACCTGGGCTTGCTCCTCACAAAGCTCAGTGTTATTCCTGGACAGGCCAATCAATCAAACTCCAGGGCCTGCTCCTCAATGGGCAGCTGTCTTCTCCACTCCCTACAACTTCAAGCAGTAATGCTGTCTTGTCTTATTCTTTGATGAAGTGATTTATTGTTCTAGGATTTGTCATTTAATCCACCATTCTCGGGCTCTGAATTATTTAGTTTCCATTTAAATCACACGGTATATATGTTAAAGGAACATGGAAGGAGATATTTATCATAATAATGGATGGCAGAAGAATTCTTGATCATGGAGGATCACAGGAGATTAAATGGGACATTTTGATTACATACAAATTTAAGGTTTCTACACAAACAAAATCAATGCAGGTAAAAGTAAAATGCAATCAATACATTGGGGAAAATCTTTGCAGCAATTTTTTTCTGATAAAGGTCTGATGTTCTAGAAAAGAACCAATTCAAAGCTAATTCTAGTCTATAAAACAAAAAAGTCCCAAATGAATAAATGGTTACAGAACATTAGAAGGAAGTTTTCAAGGGAAGAATTACAAGATATCACCAGCCAAGTGCAAAAAATGCTACAAATCATTATTAAAGAAATTTAAAATAAATACTGAATATTCTCATCACAAACGTCTGATGAGTAAAGATGACAAAAAACAGAAAATTACAATTGTTGGAGAAGCTGGGGTAGGGGGGCAAGGCACAATTATACACTGATGGTGGAGCTATAACTTAGTCCAGTCATCATGGAAAGAAATTTTGAATGATGCCTACAAAGTCATTAAAGCATGTGCATCACTCTTCGATGTAGAAATGCTACTTCTGTACATTAACTCCAAAAGAGATCAAAAAAAGAGGGAAAGGACAAAAACATTTATAGTAGCCCTTTTTGTAGTGGCAAAGAATTGTAAACTAAAGTGTGTCAACTAGGGAGTGGCTAAAGAAATTATAGAGTTTTAGCATAATGGCATATTATCATGCTGAAAGAAATGTCAGATAAGAAACCTGGGAAGACTTGGATTAACCGATAGAAAGTGAACAGAAACAGGAGGACAATTTGCACAATTACTATTGCATTGTAAAGAAAAGCAGCTTCAAAAGACTTAAGATTGCTAATCAATTCAGTGACTAACCGTGATTCCTGAGGACCAATGATAAAGATTGTTTCCCATCTCCTGACAAAGAGGTGATGGGTTCCAGGCATAGAATGTGGAATACACTGTCAGACATGGCCAAATTATGGTTATGTTTTGCTTGATTATGTTTATTTGTTACAAGAGAGGTTGTATTTTTTTTATGTAAGGGAAGATTGGGAGCAAGAAGGAGGCTTGTTTTTCAGTTGTTTCAATTATGTCTGACCCTTCATGATCCATCTTCAGATTTTCTTGGCAAAGAGACTGGAGTGATTTGCCATTTCTTTCTCCAGCTCATTTTACAGATGAGTAAACTGAGGCAAACAGGGTGAAGTCGACTTGCCCAGGGTCACATAGCTAGTAAGAGTCTAAGGTCACATTGGAACTCAGGAAGATGAATCTTCCTGACTCCATGTCCAGCACTCTGGGAGAGCTAGCTATCATGATGAAAAAAAAGGAAGAAAAGAGAGTAATTGAAGAATTTTTTGGCATGCACAGAAGAGAACAGCAGGAAATTCAGAGGGAGACAGAGAAAAGTAGGACAGGTTTCAAACTATCATGCTGAATTTATTACAAACTATTTTTTTTAAAAAAAGCTGAAGGTAATGGAACACTGTGGTTTCATATAACAATCCTCTTTTTCTTTTCTTTTTTGCATATGGATATGATCACGTTTGTTGGTATACACCAAATTCAGAATAACAAAAAATAAAACATTATTTTTACGAAACCCTAGACGCACTGAGTCATGCCAGACAAATATCATTTTCTTTTTTGGCAGGGTTACCAAAGGAGCAGATCAGGGAAATGCTTCAGGTCTAATTTAATAAGACTTTAGCAAATAATTTGCTAAAGCATTTCAGATACTTCTGGAGAAAATGGATTCAGAGCTGGTTGGATGGTCAGACAGACTCAAAGAGTAATATTGCTGGTTCAGGGTCAACATGGCAGGCAATCCCCTGGACAGAAACTGCAGGGACCTGTGCAATTCCTGTTCTCCACAAGGGGCTGGTAGACCAACTGGCCTTCTGAAAAATAGTGACCTTCTCCAGATTTTGCCTGTTGCCCCCAAGCTTGCAGTCTCTGATTCACAGCCTCCCAGAGCCCCTCAAGATTCATGTGGTCTTCCGTACTAGCCTCCTCAAAGACTACCCCTTCCCTCATTGGATTGCCCCAATTCTCCTCCAGTGACAGCTGTATACAAGGGACAGAGGAATTACTGTGTTTAGAAGACTCTTGACTCCCACATGACCCAGAGGTGCCTCTATTATCTGCTAAGGTGAGTGAGGAAGGGTCCTGGGAACCTGTGGCGCCCACAGCAACAACCCCAGTATGCCACTGCACATGGCTATGTTGGAACCAACTCAAACTCACTGAAGAGACAGTGGTTAACTTCTTTACTGAGAGCATTTACGCCTCAGAAAAGCGGCAGCAGCAGGGCTTGATTTACTGTCTTATTGACTGTCTAGACTTAACAAAAGGTTAATTATGCAGAATGAACTTCAAAGTGAGTGTGTGTGTGTGTGTGTGTGTGAGAGTGTGTGTGTGTGCATTTTTTCCTCAGAGAGATGGTCATTAAACGTTGCCCAGCTCCCCTCTGGACTGCTCTATAAACATTGTTTAAATTCCTCACGAGGGTGGCAGAAAGCTCAGGCCAGGAAATTTCCACCAGACTGAAGGCCTGGGGCCTGTAGGCTAATAATAATAACAATAATTTATATAGCACTTTAAGGTTCACAAAGTGCTTTACATCCATTATCCCACTGGAGTCTTACAGCGCCCCTGCCGTCATGACTCTGCGAACGAGCCACGAATCCAGTGAACAACTTTGGCAGGAGAATTATTTTAAGGTAATTTGGCATCTCCCTATCTGCCCCAACAAAGGGTCAGGTTTACCTGTAACCCATGACCAACTTCCAACTCAAATACTTGAGGTCTCAGTCTGACATAATGATAGAGAGAGGGAGGGAGAGAGACAGAGAGAGACAGAGACAGAGAGATAGAGAGAGACAGAGACAGACAGAGAGAAAGGAGAGACAGAGACAGAGAGACAGAGAGAAAGGGGAGAGAGACAGAGAGAGAAACAGAGACAGAGACAGAGAGAGATAGAGAGACAAAGAGAGACAGAGACACAGGCAGAGACAGAGGCACAGAGAGAGATAAAGAGAGACACACTGAGAGACAGAGACACACAGACAGACAGACAAAGCAAACAGAGAAAGAGAAAGAGAGAGTAACAGAGCCAGAGAAACAGACACAGCGAGAGGAACAGAGAGAAAGGTAGACAGACAGACAGACAGAGACAGAGATGGACACAAAGAGAGAGCAGGCCCTCTCCTGACTGCCCAGCCCCAGCTTCTCGCCCCATGCCCAGCACCCCCAACCTTGCCACCATGAAGGTGAGGCTGAGGTCAGGTTTGACCTCGTGAAGGTTTCTCAAGTTGCCAAAGACTTGAAACAGCTTTGCCTGCAGAAAGTACAGTACGCTCTCCTTCTGACTGGGGAGTCCTTTTTGATCCCCCCACCCCACAAAACGTGTTCATTCCTGTAGCAAGATGTTACTTAAGCTATTTTTAAAAGTTTCCTAATAGTTTTCATATGTGAGTCTGCAACGTGATGCGAAACTCTTCAAAGGAGAGAGAACCCCAAAGCCTGCCAGCACACAAGCTTATCCTGCCTGTTAAAATGTGCCCAGTAAACCCTGCCGATTTCTCCTGGTGTCCAGCCTTCCCATCAACCTCTCCAAACTTTCACTGCTTTCTGACAAGATATAAGAACGAAAGTATTCAGTTGGAAAAACAAAAACAAAACATCTGCGGACTCAGTCATGTTTACAACCAGCAAGAATGTAAAGCAGAGAGCAAGCTTTGCTTCTCTAAAGCCAACAGGCCTTCACCTCATTTTCTGAGCCCACTCTTGCAGATGATCTAATTTTAGACTTGATGATGGGCAGCCGCCAATGTGCCAGCACCCAAGGCACCTACTGGTTCTTTTCTGTCTTTATGTCTCACCCTGCCCTTAGCTCCTTCTTACCTCGCTCTCAAATGCCTGCCAGCCCTGTCCTTTCTCACTGGATTTCTTACTCTGGCCTGCCTGGTTGTGTGTGACCCACTACTATTTCACTTTACCCCTCAAAACAGTTTCTAAGTGTTGGAGAAAGCCAGTCCTGGGGAATTCCAATGTGTATATACAAGCTGCTCTCACCAAATATTTGCTAATCATGCCTCATCTTTCTTCCTTCTCTCTAAGCCAGGTTATCTAACGATCTCCTAATACTCTAAATATTCCCTTGCCTCAGATTCAACTTTTAAAAAATTGTTTTTTTATACTTTCTTTTAAAAAATCACCATTGTTTCTGAGTCCCCAAGTTTCAGATCCATTCTGGCTTCTGCCAGGAAGGCTCCCTGATAATAAAGAAACAAGGTTAAGGAAAACAAACCAACACACCGGCCCTATCTGATTCTGTACTCCTGGGCCTCTTCCTCTTTACCAAGAAGAAGGAACTGAGATTTACCATGTATCCTCTAAAGCAAGTCTAGTGATCTTATAGACCTTGGCTTTTTCAAGGTCATTCTCCTTCATATTTTCAGTGACTATACAGATTGTTTGCCTGGCTTGGCCTATTTCGCTCTGCGCCACCTTATACAAGCCTTCCCACATTTCTCAGCTGTCATATTGTCCTTTCTGATAGGACAGCTATATGCCTTCACCTTTATATAACACCATTTATTCAGCCATTCCCCATTTAACAATTACTGTGTTTCCTTTTATTTGTTAACACAAAAAGAGCTGCTATGGATATTTTTCTATGTGTCAACTCCTTTCCTGCTTTTGACCTTCATATCCCCTGTAGATTTCATTTTAAAAAATTAAGTATGAGTTTATATATACACATACATTTATATACACACACATGTGCATGCGTGTGTGTGTGTGTAAAGAGTAGGATCTTTCACAATCACCACACCTGATTAGCCCTGATAACATTTTCAGGTGAAGGAGGGAGGGAAGCAGAAAACTTGGAAAGAATTTTTACACCCAGTGTCTCTGATAAAGATTTCATTTCTAAATTTCTAAAGATTTCTAAAAATTTCTAAAGATTCATTTCTAAAACATACAGAGAACTGAATCAAATTTATAAAAATACAAGTCATTCCCCAAATGACAAATGGTCAAAGGGTATGAACGGGAAGTTTTCAGATGAAGAAGTTGAAGCTATCTATAGTCATATGAAAAAGTGCTCTAAATCACTATTGATTAGAGAAATGCAAATTAAAACAACTCTGAGGTACCACATCACACCTGTCAGATTGGCCAACATGACAAAACAGGAAAATGATAAATGTTGGAGAAGATATGGGAAAATTGGAACCCTAATGCATTGTTGGTGGAGTTGTGAAATGATCCAACCATTCTGGAGAGCAATTGGAAAAAATGCCCAAAGAGCTATACAAATGTGCATACCCTTTTACTCAGCAACAGCACTTCTAGGGCTGTTTCCCAAAGAGATCATACAAATGGGAAAAGGACCCACTTGTACAAAAATATTTATAGGAACTCTTTCTGTAGTGGCAAAGAATTGAAAATTGAGGGAATGCCCATCATTTGGGAAATGACTGAACAGGTTGTGGTATATGAATGTAATAGAATACTATTGTGCTATAAGAAATGATGAGCAGGCAGACTTCAGAAAAACCTGGAAAGACTTGTATGGTCTGACGCTAAGTGAAGTGAGCAGAACCAGGAGAACATTGTACACTGTAACAGCCACACTGTGCAATGACTAACTTTGATAGACTTATCTCTTCTTAGCAATGCAAAGATCTAAGATGACTCCAAAAGACTCATGATGGAGAATGCTATCCACATCCAGAAAAAGAACTGTGGAGTCTGAATGCAGGTCAAAGCAGACTATTTGCTCTCTCTCCACTTTTTTTTTTGTTTCTTCTTTCTTGTGGTTTCTCCCATTGGTTCTAATTCTTCTTTACACCTCGACTAACGTGAAAATAGGTTTAATATGAATGTATATGTTGAGTCTGTATCAATTTACACACTGTCTTAGGGGCGGGGGAGGGGAGAGATGGGGAGAAAAATTGGAACTCAAAATCTTATGGAAGTGAATGTTGAAAACTAAAAATAAATAAATAAATCACAAAAAAAATTTCAGATGAGAACACCCCCCCCCCCCACTGTTAACTAGGTGTGAACAAGGCCTACATACCACTAGAGTGGGTAGGACTGGACTGTTCAGATTGGCTGAGGAAATTGGCCACACCCTCAGGGGCCTGTATCAAACCCAGTTGGAATTAGAGATCTAAGCATTTGAAGGGAAAAAGGAAAGATGCTATCTCTTCGGAGGGAGGAGAAGCCTCAGGCTCTGTCTCTCTCTTCTCATTCTCCCACCTGATCAGAGGAGGACCTTACAAAAGTTCCACAGCATTTGGAATTTCCCATTTTGCCATCAGAGTCCTAATAGTATCCCTGAAATAGCCACTGGAGGTGTTTGCATCAGAAAAAGCCCCAGAAGCTCTACAAAGATCTCAGCAGACAATCTGTACCACACCTAAGAGGGACATCTAGAGGGCTCAACCCAAGGACTTCCCATTCCCCCATGACTGCATGTGCTTTTTAAGCTTTAGCCCACTTTCCACTTGACTCTGTAGTTCTTGGAGGAAAGTGTTTGTATCACTTCTATTAGTTGTGCTTATTACAATCCCCTAGTAAATATTCCTTTCTAAAAAACTAAAAACCTAGCTCACTAATCGACATCAACTGATAACCATGGTAGAAAGTACTGGTGGGGCCTCGTGACTCATGGTGCTAGAAAGATGATCCCCAATTCTCCAGGGCTCCCACTAGAGTCAGAAGGGACCCATGGCAGGCTTGCTCACTGCACCACCCATCTGCCTCAGCATCAGTCGCATATCATATAATGGAGTATTTTTGTACCATAACGGATGATACATACGAAAAAAATCAAATAGATACGGAAAATATTTTGGATGTGATGCTTAGTGAAGAAAGCAGGACCCAAATAACAATATAAACTCTCATGTTGATGATTCAATTCAACCCACTTCATCGAGCATTCCTTAAGAATCCATTATGTGCCAGACTGTAGGCATCCAAAGACGAAAAAAATGAAATCATCCCTGTTCTCAAGAAATTTACATTCTATTGGGGGAACCAACATTTACACAGAACTTTACCTATAAAAAACATCAGTAACTGGGGAAAGATCCAGAGAAGCTGACACATCTAAGTGAGACTTGAGTTGAATTTGGAAGGGAGTTAGGAGGTCCAGGACGTGGAGGGCAGGAAGGAGTATGTTATAGGCATGGAGCATGCCTTATGCAAAGGCTTGGAGACTGGAGATGAACGCCAAAAAGGCCAAGTGTGCAGGTGGGAGGGTAATAGGCAATACGCCTGGAAAGGGAAACTGGGGAGCCTAGCAGTGAAGGGCTTTAAAAATCAAACCAAAGAGTAAGCCTTTATCCCAGGAACAAGGAGATCCTGGCACCTTCTGAGCTAGGGGAGGCGGCACACTTCATACACTGACCACGCACTCTGACTTCTACGGGGTCACGACTCCAATCACCTAGTGATGGTGAGCCCTTCTTTCACAGATGAGGAAATGGAGGCCAGAGAAGTTGAGAGACACCTCACAGTCCCACAGATAATAAGTGGAAGAGTTAGTACCTGGACCCAGGTCCTCTGGCTGGACAATCAGTGTACTTTTCCCACTGGGCCACACTGTCTCATCATATTTGGAAGACCACATGGTTTAGAAGGTGGAAGACCAGCTTTATAATCACAAATAAATTATTCAAATCGACCTCTGACACATACTGGTTGTGATCACGTCTAAATCAGAGCTCCAGAAATTGCTCTAAAATTATATACTGTAGACGAGAGGTGTATTTGCATTGGTACGGGGAATTTCCACATTGGGTGTTTGACATGCTAATGAAACTAAAGGTCTAAATGAAAAGAAAATTCCTATTTAGTATTTTGGAAGGAAAAATCTCACTAACGACCAATATTTCCTTGCAGGGCTCCTAATGACATTAGGTGAGACACCAGGGTTCTGCAGAGGTGATGATGGACCAGAGAAAGGAGTGGCTAATGTTCTTATGCCAAGGGTGGTACCTCACTGTTGGTGCCAAGAAGCATTTTATGAAACTCACTGGAAGCCATCCAAGTGTGCTTATCAATCGCTTTATTTACAGTTGTGGTTCTACCCACCAGACCAGTGGCATCTAGCCTCAGGTCTAAACCCACAAGCACCCTCCATCACTCCACGATACGGCGGAATGACTGAACAGCTGAGCATGGGGAGCCCCAGTCCACAGGCTTCCTATACTCCTTCTTGTCCAAGAAGTACTGTCTGCCATGGTAGTTGGGCTGCTCATAGAAGACCCAGACCCCATCCAGGACCTTACAGGACTGGATCTCACGGATGTGGAACTGTTCCATGACGGAAGGGCAGTCCTCGGTGGTCTCATACATCTGGCCACTGAAGTCTCCCCTCTCAAAGATCTGAAGCTTGTATTGGCCTCCACTTGACTAGAAGACAGAGGCAACAATGAGCACAGGTCATTAGGAAAACCAACAGGTGTCGGTGACCACCATTAGGAAGCTAGATGGTCCACTAAATCCTAACTCCCAAGCTTCACTGACTATAGGGTTGACTAGACAGAAGTGACTTTGCCTCCCAAAGGAAACGGTCCTGATAATAAGAATTAATTACTCTTATAAAGGCCGAGTTTGGGCCACAAGAGATAGGAGAATGTGTCTCCTTCCTGTTTCTGCAGAGGTGGGGGACTAGAAGGGTAGAACACAGCAAATAATGGTGGACTTGGTGGATGGATTGGTTAATTTTACCTAACTTCTTTACTTTTCTCTTTCTTTTGGATTCTTGGTGGTGCAGTAGCTAAGAGTATTAGTCTTGGAGTCAGGAAACCTGAGTTTGAAACCCGTGTCAGAGATTTACTAGCTGTGTGACACTGGGCAAATCACTTGATCTCTCTCAAGCTCGGTTTCCTCATCTGTAAATGGGGATAATAATAGCATCTACCCCCTCCCCCAGGGTTGTTGTGAGGATCAATGAGATAATGTATTCACAAACATCAAAATGCTAGATAAATGTTGGCCCTCGTCATCATTCCTTGCTATAAGAGATGACTCTTTGGGTGGGGCAAAGGTTAGGATATATTGGGAAGTGGAAGTGCTGTAAAAAATTAAAGATATCAATAAAAATTAGGGGAAAACATAATTACCCGCCACACTTGGCAACCCAAAAGGGCAATGGAAATGCCTGTGAATGAGAATTTCCATCTCATATTTAGGCCCAGAAGAGAGAGCAACATTGGCCTAGTATAAAATGGCCCTAAGAGTTTATTCAATTGAAGGCAACAACTATTTCTCAGGCTTCCACTCTGGGTAAAGTACTGTGTCATGTACTGAGGATAACAAAGACAAAACATGAAACATCCTCTGCCCTCAGGGAGCTTATAGTCTACTGGGAAAATAACAGTGGGCTTACAAGAATGTAGAAAGACTATACAAGGCAATCCAAAGTCATTTTAAGAGGAAGACAAGTTAATGACTGGAGGGATCCGGAAAGGCTTTGTATAGGAATTGGTTCCTGAGCTGTGATTTGGAAAGACTTAAGGATTTCTTCTACAAGATGGAGGGGAAGAAGAAGTGAATTCCAGAAATGCTGTGCCAATTGGGCAAAGGCATGGAATGTGATCACGTCACTGTAACTAAGAAAAGACACCCAGTCATGATACCCTGGAGAGTCCAAACAAAGCTTGGAGAATTGGGAACTCTGATCAATGCAATGACCAACCACAATTCCAAAGGACTCATGATAAAAAATGTCATCCACCTCCAGATAGAGAGCTGGTAGACTAGGTGTGCAGATGGAAGCATATTTTTATTCTCTTTCTAGCATTTTCCTTATTTTTGTGTTTTCTTCCTGGACATGGCTAATGTGGAAATTTTGTTGCGCATGACTTCCTATTTGGAATGGGTTTTGTATTTCTTGTCTTCTCAATGGGTGGTGGAGGGGGTGAAAGGAAGGAGAAACTGTGGAACTGAAAATAAGATAAAATTGAATTTAAAACAAAGAAGGAGGAAGATGAGAAAGGAAGAGGAAAAAGAAGAAGAGGAAGAGAAGAGGAAAAGAAAGAGGAGAAAGGGAAAGAAGAGGAAGAGGAAGGAAAAGAGGAGGAGGAAGACAAAGAGGAAGAAGAAGGAGGAGGAGGAGAATAAGAAGGAGGAGGAGAAGGAGGAGGAGGAGGAGGAGAAGAAGAAGAAGAAGAAGAAGAAGAAGAAGAAGAAGAAGAAGAAGAAGAGAAGAAGGAGGAGGAGGAGAAGGAGAAGAAGAAGGAGAAGAGGGAGAAGGAGAAGGAGGAGAAGAAGGAGAAGGAGAAGGAGAAGAAGGAGAAGGAGAAGGAGGAGAAGGAGGAGAAGGAGGAGGAGGAGGAGAAGAAGAAGAAGAAGAAGAAGAAGAAGAAGAAGAAGAAGAAGAAGAAGAAGAAGAAGAAGAAGAAGAAAAAGGAGAAGGAGAAGAAAAAGGAGAAGGAGAAGGAAGAGAAGAAGAAGGAGGAGGAGAAGAAGAAGGAGAAGAAGGAGGAGAAGAAGAAGGAGAAGAAGAAGAAGGAGAAAGTGAAGGAGAAGGAGAAGAAGAAAGAAAGAAAGAAGACTTATTTTCAAGCCTTTCTTTCCAGGCTGTCCCAGAGAACCAGAGAAATCTCTAGACTCACCAGATGGATCACCTTGCAGGAGCTCAGCCGGTCATTGAGCCCCCTCCAGTGGTGGTAATCAGGGTATTCACCCTGAGTTAGGATGTACATGTTCCCTGCAAAGTTGGGCCTCTCATAAACCACCCAGGCCCCGCCGGCCACCCGGATGGAATTGCAGCAACTCAAATAGGTGTGGAAATCGGCACAGTCACTGTCACACTCATAGTGGTGACCTTGGAAGTTCTTATCATCATAGAAAGTAATCTGAAACACAAGGCCCCCCAGGCCAAGAAGTAAGGGACTGGACTTTAGTCTACTACAACACAAAAAAGTAATGAAGTGTTCCCCTTAATCCCATATTTCTTCCTCTCTCTTGCAAATTCCTTTCCCTAAAAGGTAGCCAGGTAACACAGTGGGTGGAGAGCTGGATTTGGGGCCAGAAAGACCTAACTTCAAATACTGCCTTAGACACTCACTCCCTGTGTCTTTCTCAGCCTCAGTTTCCTTATTTGTAAAAGGGGGGTATTTACCTCCCAGAGTTGTTGTGAGAATCAAATGAGATAATGTTTTACAAATATTATCAAAGTACAAAGCACTTTATGTAGTTTGCAAAGCCTTGACTCATTTAAATGATAGCTACAGTTAACGGTTAAGAAGAAAAAGATACAAATTGCTTCTCCACGTTATTTCCTTGCCAAAGCAGCTGCCTGGTCTGTCAACGACATCAAAAGTTCTCCTGGAGGCCGACCCAGAATAGCCCAAGTGGAAAATAAAAGCAAGGAAGGGTACTAGGGTGAACTGGGAACAGGGAATCCAAATCTGGGGTCCATGGATGGGTTTCAAGGGGTTCTGTGAAGCTGAACTGAAAAAAAAGACATCTTTATTTTCATTAACCTCTAACTGAAATTGATCATTTCCTTCAATGATTTAAAAACATGATTCTGAGAAGGGATCCCCAGGCTTCACCAGATACTGCCCAAGGGGTCCAGGACACAAAAATGAAGGTCTGTAGCACTGGGCACAGGAAATCGATGGCAGGTCTAGAGCTGAAAGGAATCATTTGTGATGCACCTGAGAAAGGAGCAGAGAAAACCATTCGGTATACAAAGCCCACGGCCAGAAACCCAGGCTCAGAGTCAGAAGACCAGCGTTCAAGTCATCCCTCTGACTCTACTGGTTTTGTGACCATGGGAAAGTCACTTAAGCCCTGAATGTCTCAGAAGGCTCTCTAAACTCTCTTAGAGGGCACTGTGTATAATCACCATCAGTCAGACAATAAGCATTTATTAATCACCGATTCTGTGCCAGGCACTGTGCTTGGGATACAAAGAAAAGCAAAAAGAAAGCAAGAAATCCCTGATCTCAAAGAACTTAATTTAGTTGGGGAAGGGGGCACAACACGCAAAAGGTTATATACAAACAAGAGAAATTGGGGTTCTTCGAGGGGAAGCGCTAAGATTAAGGAGGACTGGATAGGAGTAGCACAGGTCTGGCAACAACAACAAAAATTTACCAAGCATCAGGCATAAAAAGACAGTACCAGCCCTAAAAGAGTTTCCATTTTACTCAAAGGATGTTTAAAAAACCAAATCTGTGACTTCGCTGGGGCAAGGAGCTAGCTACCTGTGAGGAACTTCCTCAGACACCACAGATGAGCATCTTCTCTGCAACTTACGGGCTTAGGGCAACCTGGGGGCACTCAGGGGTGAAGTGACTTGCCCAGGGCCACACAGCCAGGAGGAGTCTAAGGTAGGACTCAAACCTGGCTCTATCTGAGTGCAAGGCCAGTTTGCTATCCATAATGCCAGGCTGTCTTTGTGGAAGGGATGCTGCCTGTACACAAATAAGTAGATACCTGATGATTTGGGGAAGAGGGAGGAGGGAAAGAGGAAAGGCTTCTTGGAGGAGATGCCAGACCTCATAGGCTCAGGGATCTAGGGCTGGAAGGGTCCCTGGAAGCCGTTCAGCCCAATTTCCTCATCGTACAAACGAGGGAACTGAGACCTAGAGAGGCCTAGGACACAGGCTGCAGGACCAGAAGAACATGGTTTTAGAACTGGAAGGGACCTTAGTCAGATGTCATGTAATTCAACTTCCTCGTGTTAGAGACGAGGAAACTGAGTCTGGTAAAGATGAAGTGATTTGTCCAATGACACACAGGTGGAAGTGAAAGATGACCTGAGGTGGAAGTAAGGAGGGAGGGAGTCCGGCTCCCTAGTTCTCGACCCATCCGGGCCTCCTCTTCCTTCTCCATTGGGAATTGTTGGAGGCCCACATCTTTTCAATCTTCTTATGCTTTGGATGCATTTTAAGCAAGAGTACCCATTCAGCATCAAATATGTGATGCCTCGTCCACCCGGCTGGCTCACCTCCTTTTCTGCTTAGACTCATCCTTGATAATGACTTCTGTGTTGCACGTGCCATCATCATTTACACAGCACAGCCCATCTGGGCCCTCCATGGATCTTGTCACGGCCCCTGGGCTCGGCTGCTTAAACACTGACCAACATTTCCTGAATGCCCCCTACATGCAGAGCTCTATAACTAGGTTGTGAGAATACACAAATGAATCATACATCCAGAGTGGGAAAAGACTTCAGAGGTCATCTGTGTCAAACCCCTAATGTCAGATGAAAGATTTGAATCCAGGTCCCCTGACTTCTGGGTCAATATTTTTGACCTTATACCAAACTCAAAGGATCTATAAAAGGGAAGGGAATAAGGATTTATTAAGTACCCACTGTGTGTCGGGCACTGCTCTAAGCACTTTACAAATATCATCCCATTTAGTCCTCACGACAGCCCTGTGAGGTAGATGGTTTTATTATCCCTCTTTTACAGGTGAGAAAACTGAAGCAGAGGTTAATTGACTTGGCCAAGGTCACACAGCTGGTAAATGTCTGAGCATGGATATGAACTTGGGTCTTCCTGACTCTAGGACTCTCTCTGCTTCACCATCTAGCTGCCTCTAGGAGGAAAGGCCCAAACAGTCCTTGCCTTCATGAGCTTACATTCTCATGGGGGAGACAAAGGTGGCAAACAGCTCCATACACACCAGAGAAAAACAGGGTAAATTGGAGGTAATCTCAGAGGGCAGATACCAGCATTGGAGGGAGCCAGGAAAGGCCTCTCAGATTTGAAGAAGCCAGGGAATCCAGGAGGCAGGGCATTCAGGGTGTGGGCCGCAATCTGGGGAAACGCATGGAGCAGGGCGGAGGGATGGGAAGGGAGAGGTGAGAAAGGGTGGGGTACCTCACATAGGGGTCAGCAGAGAGGCCGGAATCACTGGATTTTTGAGTACATGGAGAGGGGTAAAATGTGACGGACTTTAAATTTTAAACAGAGAGTTGTATATTTGATCCTGCAGGTGATAGGGAGCCAGTGTCCTGGTTAGAACTGAATTTGAGAAAGATGGTTTGGGGGCAGCTAGGTGAGCAGTGTACCAGCCCTAGAGTCAGAAGGACCTGAGTTCAAATCTAGCCTCAGACATTATTAGTTGTGTGACCCTGGACAAGTTACTTAATCCCAACTGCCTAAACAAACACAAAAAACCCCAAGAACATGGTTTTGGCAGCTGAACAGAGAAGGAACTAGAGTGAGGAGAGAATGGAAACAGAGAGAACATGGCAGGTGATGAAGACCTGTGCCAAGGCAATGGGCCATGTCAGCAGGGAAAAGGGGATGTATATGAGAGATGTTACAAAGGGAGAAAGCACAGGACCTGGAAAGAGAATGACGACGATGGGGTGGGGGATGGCACCCAGGTTGGGAGCCTGGATGACGGGGAGGATGGTGGTACCCTTGACAGTGATCGGCAAGTCTGGGAGAAGGGAAAGTGGGGAGAAAGACCATGAGCTCTGGTCTGGACATGCTGAGTGACATCCAGTGTGAGACGCCTAATAGGAAGCTGGAGATGGGAGCCTGGAGGTCAAGAGAGAGGTTAGGGCTGGATAAGTCACCTGCAAAGAGATGGTTCCTTGGGAGTTGAAGAGATCACCAAGGGAACCAGTAGATAAGAAGAGAAGAGGGCCCTGGACAGAGCTAGGAAAACAATGTGGCACATTGAGAAATACTCTAGATTTGAAATCAGAGCATCTGGAGTCAGGGAGAACCTTTATGGAAAAAGAATACGTGCAATCCTGTGACACCGCTCCCCCGCCCCCGCCCCGACCAAGTTCTCTTCCAGCTTTAGGTCTGTGAGCCTAAGTAATTCCTCTCCGCCTCAGTTTCCTGATCTGTGAATTCAAAGTTCAGCTCAAACTGCCAATTTCCATTTCAAATACTATCACCCCACCTGGTGGTAGGCTTTGCTTCATCGAAAGCAGCGATAGTCGACCCTGATCATTTACATTCATCCGTAGCTTCAAAATAAGGCTATTATCCACTGGGGACAAAGCCGGGCTCAGGGATTCCAAGCACCAGGAAAGGGGCTGGGGAAACCAGAGTACAAAACTGGGGAGGGGCTGTGAGCTCAAAGCAGAGAGAAAACGAGAATAGCCTCACTTTGAAGGCCAGTTTCTTTTTAATTGGCACAAGGCACTCGACTTAGAAGAGGACATGGCACAGGGAAAGGAAGGCTGGATTTGGATCCGGGGTCTTGAGTTCAAACTCTTGCTTGGCCACTTGTTATTGCCTGTGTGACATTGGGTAAATCACTTTACCTCTCTGGGCTTCAGTTTCCTCATCTCGAAAATGAAGAGATTAGATGAACTAGCCTCTGAGGCTCTTTTGAGACCTAGGACCCCATGGATCTATACTCTGTGTGACCCCAGTAAAGCGGCTTCCCTGTTTGGAGCCAGCTCTAAATCTAAATCTTCCCGTCCCCCACATTGGGCCCAATGCAAAAAGTCAGTGACACGGAAACAAGGAAAGGAGATGATAACCTTGAGAGCCTGACCTGACAACTGACGTGCCTGGGAACAAAATAATAATGAAGGAAGAGGAGGAGAAGGAGGAGGAGGAGATGGAGAAGAAGAAGAATGGGGTTCTATCTCTAAGTCACTCATGCTTGCTGTGTGAGCCTGGGCAAGTCACTTAACCTCTGTTTGGCTTGGTTTCCTCATCTATAAAATGGGATAATAATAGCATCTATTTCTCCCAGGATGATGTGAGGATCAAATGAGCTAATAATGGCAAAGTGTGGGGCACAGAGCCTGGCACATCGGAGGTGCTATAGAAATGTTAGCTATTAGTTATGAGCCCAAGTTACCCTCTGAGACTATTTTGCAAAGCAGGTGATCCTCTAAATTGGTAGATGGAGTTCACTCACTGGAAGGAACCTGTACAATGAAATCACAAGCCTGGTCCTTAATAATAATATTATAATTATAATATAATATAATAATAATTATTATTATAAATTCAGTCCAAAAGTTCTATTTAATCATTCCAACTGAATGAGAGAGGCAGCATGGCTTAAGGTCAGAAGCTGGCCTTGAAGACAGCGAGATCTGGGTTCAAGTCTTGCTCTGGCACATCCTGGATGTGGCTTTGGGTGAGCAGTTTAACCTCTCAGTGCCTCAAGTGACTCATGAAGACTACGCTGGTGAAGTTAGTTTCTAAACCAGGAGCTCCCCACACTAACAAAACAGTGTGATGGAATAACACGATACTATTTAAATAACAACAACGATGATGATAGTGAGCATTTATGCACTGAGATCTGAAAAGCACTCACCAAATATTATCTCATTTGATTCTCACAACTCTCAAATGATTCCCATTTTACAGATGAGGAAACTGAGGCCTTGAGAGGTCAAACGACTTGCCCGGGGTCAGACATCTGGTAAGCTCTGGGGCTGCATTTGAACTCAGGCCTTCCTGACTTCAGGCGCTATAGGCCCTGCAGGAATACAGGAGAGCTTTCAAAGCTGAAAGCTGCACTCTGACTCTTGAGATGCCCCATCTAGCAAGGCCCATGGACGATCAGAATTAAAGCCTTGGTTTGTTTATCAGAACTTGGGAAAAGCAGCTAAATTCAAGAGTTTAGGATAATAAGCCTGAGGAGAAAAGAATGGTCCTGAGAAAAAGGAGAATCCAGGACAAAAGCCTCGAAAGGGGAGCAGGGAGAAACAGGGGAATTTGGCTTTTGATTTTCAGCTCACTGATGCCCAAGAGTTCCTGATCCTTCTTTACCACCTCTCAGAGTTCCTAATAAAAGGATGCACTAATTAGAAGGACTGAGTTTGCCCCCAAGAAGAGATGAGGAAATTATACATCCTTCCCTTCTTAGCAGAGGTGGGGGTCTATGGGTGTGGAACTTTGCATAGACTATCAGACCCAGTACAGGCTTGGGCAATTTTTTGCTTAAAAGGTTTCTTTTATCTTTTGTGTTTTTGTTACAAGAAATGGCTCTCTTCAAGAGGCAAAAAATGAGCTCTTTAAAAAAAAAATAGATATGGGAGGAGAAGGCTCTCAGGGCTGGTATGATACCGTATGTGGACAGAGGGAAAAGAAGAAAAAGGAAGAAAGAAGAAGAGAAAGAAAGAAAGAAGGGAAGGAAAGAAAGAAAAAGGAAGGAAAGAAGGAAGGAAGGAAGGAAGACAAAGAAAGAAAGAAAGAAAGACAAAGAAAGAAAGAAAGAGAAAAAGAAAGGAAGGATGGAAGGAAGCAAGGAAGGAAGGAAGAAAGGAAAGAAAAAGGAAGGAAGGAAAGGAAGACAGAAAGAAAGAAAAAGGAAGGAAGAAAAAGGAGGAAAGAAAAGGAAGGAAAGAAAGAAAGAAGACAAGAAAGACAAAAAAGGAAAGAAAAAGAAAGGAAGGAAGGAAGGAAAGACAGACAGACAGAAAGCCAGACAGAAAGCAAGCAAACCGTGTTGCCCAAATGGAAGTCTGGTCCCCAGTGGTCGGCTCCTTTTCTACTCACAGAGGCTGCCATCTGTCCTTCGTTCTTGAAGAGAACTATGACATAAGGAAGGTGATGGGGACCTTTGCTTCAGTCTAAGGCTATGACCCCACATTCTCTGGGACTAAGGTTCTTACAGAATCTTTCTTCTAGGAGTTAAGAGGGTGCCTCTAAACACTCATCTTCTCCTTCCCACTGCCTGTAAATGGGGTTATACCTGGGGGATTGTCTTCATACTACAGACGGCCACAACTAAGTGCTCCATGTTGGCAGCTTTGCCTGCCCCTCCCCAGCCCCTCCCACCACCAGTTCAACAGGACACGCTGACGGCCAGCTAAGAGACCATGCGGAGCAGAGGGTCAGAGGACGCCAGTGAACCCAGATCACAAAGTCACTTCCCGGGTTGGCAGACTAGATGGTCTCTCTCTAGTTCAGAATCTGTGTTCCCGTGAAGCTCCTTTACCTCCCTGTGCCTCAGTTTCTGCTTCTGTAAAATGAGAAGGCTCTACCACATTCTCTCCAAAGTTCCTGCTGATTCTAAATCTTAGGATATCACAAAAATAACTTTTCTTAAGTTGAAGAGGGTGAAGGCAGGGGGCAGGAGCTCAGGGTGTCTGACCAATCCATCTGACCAATCTCTTTGCCCAATCATCTTGGAAAGTTCATGGTCACAGTCAAGAAGTCATTCAAAAAGTAATATTCCAAATTGACCAGTCCATACAAATTTTAACTAGCTTATCTTCTCCCCTTGGGAAATACCCAAGTTAGAATACCTGAGCTGGACCCAGAAAAAAGAGGGCAGAAGCAGCAGCCATCGATGTCTCTTTTTCTGAGAACTGAACAGGATAAGGAGGCAAGGCTGGCCATGAATAAAATCAGCCTTATTTATGCCCATTCTCACCACAGAGGACCGTTCATGCCAAGTCAAGTGGGTCAGGAGAGCAGGGATAAATAAACAAGAGTAACCGGTATCTAATCTATCTGTCTGAGCGCCACCAGGGAGGAGAAGCGGGTGAGTCGGAGGGCAGATCTGCCTGTTCACTTACCTTGGCTACACTTTTAGACATAGTTGTGGCCCTGGCTGATTTTCCCCAGTACGGACAGAACTTCAGGAACAGCTACAGTTGGCCAGGGCCACCGAAATGTTTTATACTGGGCTGGATTCAAACCAAACATTTGCTTGGTCATGAGAATGGGATGCAAATATTGAGTCAGGCGTTGTTTGGAGGTTACCGATGCTTTCCAGAAAAACGCCTGGGATTATGAAATAAAGGAAGGCTTCAGTACCCGCTTTATTGCTTACTAAGGCCTGCTGCATCATGGGCTGTGCTGAGTCAGGGCACCTAAAGCCATCTCCCCCCAAAATGAAAACCGAAAAAAGTGAGATGCCTCTCTCTCCTGGCATCGGAGGGGGATCACAGAAACATCAACCCCTAACTTTAGAGATGAGGAAACGGAGGCCTAGAGAGATTAGGGGGCACCAGAGCCAGAGCTCTTTCCACTGGGCCGCACTGTGCGTCTCTCCTGAGGAAGGTCTCTTGAACTCCTAGAATGGCAAACTCCACAAAGCTCTCCCCTGGTGCCCCATCACACTGGGTGAGTGACCCTGGGTTCTCAGACAACATACGAGACAAGATCTAGCAGTCCCTTCCATGCCACACAGGCTTCTTGCGATGCTCCAGGACTGCAGAACGCCTGTCATTTAAAGACCCCAGGTCCAAGTAAGTGCAGAGATACTCATTTCCGGGATGGTTGAAGGGTGTTTTGGGGGACCACAGCAGCCTCAAAGACCTTTAGCTAAGTGAGAAAGGGATTGGATCTGCGTCAATGGAGAGAGGAATGAATCCACCTAGACGAAGCCGAGGAGCCACGGAATCATGGCACATGGGGGCTGACAGAGGGCATCACTGGCCACTTAGTGCAACCGACATGCAAAAGTGTCGGACTATAGGATGGCATTGACGTCTCTTTCTGGCATCTTCAGATTTTCCCTCCTGAAAATGTCCAGAGTTAGCTGTCTTTGAATATCAGTCATGAAAAATGCAGGAAAACGTCCCTTCGTAAAATGCATCTCGAACATTTCTGTTTCCTGATGAACTGTTTGGGTTTGTATTCAGGCTAGATATCCTGCCTGCTCTCCCCACCCACCCTATCCCTTATCTCTCTCTCTCTCTCACACACACACACACACACCTACATACATACCTACATATACACATGCATACACACCCATGCACATGCATACATAGCAACACACACATACATGCACACCCACACTTATATACATGCACTTATATACATAGCTACATATACAAATGCATACCCATTCATGCACATGCATACACAGCCACACACATATACATGCACACACACACGGAGTACCATAACCTAAATCTAATCTGTATAAAATTTGAGTATAGTTTTTAATTTTCATCATTTTCAATGTGCATTTGTCCACACTTCTTTCCTTTCAAAGGGACTGCACTTGAAGAGTGTCTATGTGGGGGCCCGG